GTATGAATGTTTAAATTTAATTTTAAAAAAAAAGTGGTTTTGCTCCGTTTCTTGCAACGAATTTGTTGATTCTTTTTTTGCAAATCTTTTGTTTTTAATTAGAAATAAAATAAATGCAATAAAAAACTCGTTATTATTCAGTTAAAATGTATGGCTTTGAAATGTAATTAGTGCAGCTGAGTTTTAAGCTAAGTTTTAAGCTGAGTTTACAACACTCATACCCCTTCACCGGCAGCTGAAACGCTTCATTTTCGTTTAAGTGTGCATGAAATTATGCGTGTTTAAGCCACAAAACACGCCATTGCATCTCCGCTGCTGCATTTGTGTATCTTTCACTTGAAACAGAGATTTGCCAAAATTTTCCAATTTTGGTTTACTTTATTTAATTTTTTCAATTCATCTGGAATCAGTCAGTGTTGAACGCGATGATACTACGAACACGCCGCACTTGGAAGAGGTCAGCAGAAAACTCATAGAAACTAAATAATCATAACATAACAAAAAAAAAGAGAAAGTGTAATAAATAATAATTAAATTAATTTATTTTTAATAAGTTAATAACGCTAAATGCGCTATTGAGAAATTTAATGTCAAGTATTTATCAAACTATCTGTCGTAAATGAGACTGAACACGAAGTGTCTTACTATATATCGAAGTCAAACTCAGAAAATATAAACTTGGTGTCGTGCATAACTTAGGCTTATATTTACTCTTTTAAGGATCAAAGGATAAAGTATAATCATATGATATATATTATATATCATATCCTTACATAATTTATATGATTTTATTGATATTCTATATCAAGTAATTTACATATCTGAGGACGTAGATAGGTAAAGTGGAATAATGTTGATCCAGTTCACTTATATAGGCAACTATTTTGAGCTTATCATTTTTAAGAAGATAGTTTGGTTTCTGAACTATCTGATTTCTAAACTAAAGATTAGAAAAGTTGTGAGGTAACATCAAGAATAGCAGGTTCATGTGCTTCAAACTGGATATATTAACAATATAATGACAGATGTTCAGGTTATGTTTTTTAATTCAATAAAATTCACTTCATTGGAATTTAAACTTTTGGATTTAAAAATATCTTCACTCAATTCGCTGTTTCGAAAGAAGATATTATATATTTTTATAATAGAGCATAGAGTTTTTTTTATAATTTTTTAAGCAATTATGTGTAAGTCACGTCCTCATAAAATATGTAAGTTTTTACCGTTTAATTTACTTGTTGTATAATATATAATGCGGGCCAAACACTCATATAATCTAATGGGTTCATATGGTCATCGAAGTATCGATGTTACTGAATCGTATTACATAAAATTTACTGAACCTAGAAAAATCTTTTGACTGTACTATACTTAACATAGTTTCTACTTTAGATACTACTTAATTGCTTTTTCAATTACCGACCTATTAAGCCCTTTGGTTTAAAGCTAATTTAATATAAAAAGCGTAAGAACCACCATCATTTCATTCCATCAGGGTGCAGTTTAACGTTGCATACCTTAAGCACTACTCTATCCGTCCCATTCAAATTGATCCAACAGTGCTTCATCTAATAAAAAAAATCAATTCAAAATAAAAGACTAATTATAACTAATTATAATTATAACACTTTCATTCCTTATAGCTTAAAAATATATTCAGAACAACTGAAAAATAGGGTAATACCTCTAGCATCCCACATATAAATTTTAAATTCTTCGTATGTAGAACGATTAAATATAAGATTGATATATGTATAAAAAATGGGTACTCTTAAATTGTAGAAATATGTTGAACTCCTTTAATACTCCTTTATAGACATGATAATGTCATTAAGACTTTGCAGCAGATCACATTTACCACAGAGTTATGTGAGGTATATGAAGGAGGTGCTTCACATATGTCTTGCTCAATGTATATTCATAATTCACAGTCGCTTCGAGTTTTATATAGCTCTGGAACCATAGACAAAGTTGGATCGCTAGAATAAAAATTGGAATACTGAGGAATTAAAGTGAAATGGTTTTTTTTTCAAGTCTCCTTCTTTTGACAGCAATAAAATTTGGTCCTTTAATATTTATTTATATATTCCATTTCGAAAAATACTGAATACAAAGTATTGTGTAGCACATTTGGGAACCTTTCGACTCTTCTGCAACTCGAGACGAATCATCTTCTAATTAATTAAATCTCATTTTTTTTTATTCTAATTGAAAAATATAAATTTAATATCATAAACTTTTTGATTTCAAACAATATTCATATATTAAATTTAATGTTAAAGTCAATTATTAAAGTCGATTTGAAAATAAAAGTTTTTTACTACTAGAAGGTTTTTTAAATAATATATTAATTTCTGACAGGTAAATAGAATGGTGACTTATCATATCCTTGTAGGATTCTTATCTGTACTTGTTAATTTTAGGCTTTTAGCTTACATTATTTATTAAAACAGCTTCAGAGGTGTCATATCATTTATATGAAGTTATTAATATACCAATCTAAAGATTGAAGATTATCTTTACTACTTTTGTATTTTTTAATACCATTTTTTTAATTTCAACTTTATCAACTATTTTTAAAATCTGTAATTACAATTTCTTCTTTAAGATATTTCATTTAAAACAAAATAATTAAAATTCAAAACATTTAAATGTTAACTAAAATTTTTTTTAGATCCACTGATACTGAGGATTATATGCAAATACAAGTATCTAATCAGCATCCGATTGGTTTTGAACCTCCCAAGCCTCCGCCACCACCTCCAATGCCAATGCAACCGCTTATTTACAGCAGCAACAACAACAACGAAAAACTTAATACAGTGAAGTCCATAAACACACTTGCATCACCTACGAATCCCGATACAGCGACACGTAAACAGCATCAACCATTATCAGCTATATCTATACAGGATTTAAATAGCGTACAGGTAATGATATTACAATTTTTAACAACCCATTCAATTATATAAACCATCTCTCCTCACTTTAGCTACGTCGTACGGACACACAAAAAGCGCCTAAACCATTTCAAATGCCTGCACGCAGTCTAAGCATGCAATGTCTATCATCCACTACAGATACTTATTTGAAAACTGACCTAATTGCGGAACTTAAAATATCAAAGGACATACCGGGGATCAAAAAAATGAAGGTAGAAAAGCAAATGGCTAATCGTATGGACTCTGAACACTATTCCGAAATAACTAAACAATTCACGGCAAATAATTATGTGGATCAAGTAAGTAACTTATTTAAGTAATAACCAAAAGACGGACACTTCATAAGTTGTCAAAGATCTATATGCAGATACCTGACAAGGATCCATCTGGTAATGTTATACCAGATTGGAAGAGACAAATGTTAGCAAAAAAAGCAGCTGAACGTGCCAAAAAAGATTTCGAGGATCGCATGGCTAAGGAAGCGGAAAGTCGTCGTCTCTCACAAATACCACAATGGAAACGTGATTTATTGGCGCGACGCGAAGAAACTGAAAATAAATTAAAGTCAGTATCACACACTCTACATACATAATATATTAAAAAAAAAAACTTTTTTTAATAATAGAGCCACTATTTATACACCTAAAGTAGAGGAGAATAATCGTATAGCTGAAACTTGGCGTTTGAAAAATCGTGCTATGTCCATTGATAACATCAGCATGGTATCCTGTACAACAGACATTATAGCCTATCAGAGCAACAATAAGGAAAATAATTGTGGTATTGAAATGAATGGTACCAATGAAAAGCCCATAGAAGATGATATGCACAAACTTACCGAAAAATCTCAAGATGATGACGATGCAAATGATAATATAATACCTTGGCGAGCACAGTTAAGAAAAACTAATAGCAGACTGAGTTTAGTTTAGAGAGTATTTTGATCATCCAAATGGGCCTCTTATGAAATATGCGAATATTTAGTATTATTTAAAAAAATATATTGAAGTGCAATGAATTAAAATTAAAGACAGTTTTAAACATAATGAAGAAACTGTTTATTTATTAAATGATGTTTTTTTTGACTATTTTTATAATAAGTCAATACATATATATCACTATATGTGAATATATATAAAAAAGATTATTTGTGTACTTTATAAACTATTTTTTAATTTAAGCAAACATTTTGTAAAATTTATTATGATTTTTTTTTAATTTTTAGCTTATATTTAAAATATTGAAATATTTTAATTTACTAATTAATTATTAAGTTATTATGTGTAAATTTCTTTTTATATATATTTATATCAATAATTTGCTAATTCATTTCACAGAATGATCAATATTTTCAATGGGAACTTTGGTGCAATATGTTATAATTTTTAACTATTTTGAATATAAAATATAGAGCAAATAGTATTTGTTAATAGAAGATTGGGTGCTGCTATTTGCTTGTTGCGATTTTGCTAATTTATTATTATTTTTTTTAATGCCTAATTTATATAAGAAATAATTTCATTTTTTTTTTTTTGATTTGTTATGATTGTTATATTACAATAATAAATATATATATATAAATTTAAATAAATTTAGAAAATTTATTTATTTATTTTATTTACGGTTTTAAATTATGAATTAAATTGATATAAAAATTTTGCACCCAAAAACTTAAGCCAGGACATTGACACAATAGCTGTTCCATAATCTTTTTGTCAACCACCAGTAGATATGTACTACAAGAGATTCTGTAGGGCAGTCCGAGCCTAACTCCATGTCATCCTACAACTCAATATGTCACTAAGACCTATAATACTTTAGATATTTACGATTTACTTCCATGAATTAAGTACATGAATTAAGTCAGGGGTCGCTCTAGACCTCGCTGCTAAAGAAATATTAGCCCAATTGTTGTTGACCTGTAGCAAAAAAGAACATGTATCAGCTTTCGACTATGGCTGACAAAAGTGGAAATTAAGGCTGAAGGTCCCATCGAAGAGGCACCAAGTGTACAGTAACTTCATTGCTAGATGACCTACATGAGTTACAGTAGGTTATAGAGACATGGCTCGGGACAGTTATGAGTCATAGCTAAGCTATATATTACACCGGATTGTAATAGCTAACAATGATGATAATAGAATATATTTATAGTGAAAGCTATATTAAAAGAACGCTCTTACAAACCGTGCAGCATTGCTAGTCTCCACTTTTTATCTTCAATACAAGGTATGTTCTATTAAACGGACACCTCTTTTTCACTATAACAATAATTTTTTTTTATTATCACCCAAATTATGCGTTTAAATAAAAAGAATTAAAATTTGCAATACATCACATTTTCTTTATTTCAATTCATTTTTAATTTTTTTATTTTTTTAACACCTTAACTAGTCAATTTGGAGCATTCAATAACGGCTGGTTTGAATTGTACGAAATAATTCTGTAATTCATCCAAAGCATCATTGACACATTTGCCAGCATCACCAGGAGCTTGTGGGACCTTCTTAATCAATTTTATTGCTTTCTTAATTTGCTTATTCAAGGTCACAATTTTTTTGGCGACTTTCACAATACATTTCTTGGAGTTTGTAGCATCTTCATCCAAATGACTGTCTTCACTATTATTACAAATAGTATCGTTCAAATTTAGGATTTCATTGGTGGTCTTAATGATATCATTACAAGCACTAATAACTGCTTTCAATTGTTTGGAGACATTACCGCCACATGCTTTCACATCTGTGAGGAATGTTTCTGTTACATTTTGTATATTCAGCACAGCCTTAATAAGACAATTCAACCCTTTCACACCGCGTAAGATCTTTTTAAGAGTTCCGTAAAAGCCTCTATCTTCGCCATAAAAATCAATATCGAAATCAAGGGATTCAAGCGATTCGAGACTTATGTCAATTGGTTCTTCCACAACAGCGGAGCTTGACTGCAAATATAAATTATATTTAATTTTGATATTAAATTATTTACAAAATTACATACATAAACAGCTACGAAGCAAAGACTTGCAATGAATGCGAACGTAAAGAACTTCATTTTAACGATAACTGTAGAAATACTACAATGATATAGGGAAAACACTAGCTTTTTATACTCAATAGCATTTAATAAATTCTTTTTATCAGTTTTTCGTTATTTGGTTGAGATAATCACAAATCAGAGTCCAGTCAAGATATTCCATTCAAGATATTCCAAACAAAATCATTTCAGAAATTTTAATAAATTAATTTCATTCTAAATAAATTTATCGAGTCAACACACTTAAAGTTATTAATAGCAGTAATCATTTGCTGTGGTAAGATAAATTATAAGAACATAGTACAAATAAAATAGAATATATATTATATATCAACAGAACGTTGTTATTGTTTTTGTGATTCGTCATGAATTCTAACTAATCCAGTTGCCCAACAGTCTACCATGCTAGAAACATCTAAATGGCATAGCACTTAAATGAAGAGTGTTATGTTCAAGAAGGAAGAAGGAAGCGAAAGTGGGATGTAAGGAAATGGAACGACTAATTTTTATCTGTACATAGGACTGAACTTCAAGAAGATTATGTGATAGATTCCTTTAAGTGTTCCGAAACCATACATTTGGCAGTTGTAAATGTGACTCATTAATTAAAACTAATTTTTTTAAACAATTATCGAATAGTAACAAATTATAGAATAAATGTCATATAACAAATATGCATTTTAGAATGAGAGCTAGGAAATAATATCAATTAAACTGTAGTCATGATTGGGAGGCTTTTTGCGCCCTCAGAGTTTAATAAAAACAGTGTTGTTTGCTAATAAATTTACAACTTTTACAAGAAAATATTTACATATGACAAAGATCGTAAAAATATAGTATAATTCATCATATGACTTTCTGAATAATATGGTCATTAGTCATTATAACCATAGTCTTATGTAAATATGGGAAATAGATCACAATAGCATTTGAAATCTGATGCCATAAAAAAGATAACTTAGTAAAACAATTTATATTGAAAGTAGAAAGAAAATGCTATAAATATATATATATATATATGAATTCATTTCTTTAATAAAGAATCTTGAATAGTTTTAGAAAATTAGAAAGAAAACTTTGAATAAAAGCAATTGTATATTTTCCTTTAAATTGTGTCTTCGCATCACACTTTGACTACTAGACTACGGCAGTGTCCTTCAGGTCGAAGTAATAGCGTCTCACTATGCACCAAATTGGATCCTTGTCCACAAGTTGCCCGATACAAAAATCGTACTCTTAAATATCTGGTAAGCGCTTCAACTACATAGTTATTAATTTGAGAATAATAGGTTTCTCTTGGCGAGCTAGCCAAGCAAGTCAATGTTCAACTCATATAGATACATGAACATAGGGACATCTCAGGTAATTGCAAGGTAGACTATCACTCTGATTTCTGGCATTCATTTCTTGAATATTTGAATAATAATATCTGAGTATAGTTAAAAAAAACATTGGCAAATTAAAATTCCTTACAGATTTTGAGATATACGTCGTCCAAACTAAACTAGAAACGTACCAGACAGCTGATACAACTAAAGCGGAATCTGCTCAGCACAATGGCATCGGTGCTAATGAGTCACTGCGTGCTAGAAAGAAGTGCGATAAGACTCGTTCTATCCTTTAATGACTTCTTTTGTGATTATGGGTCTGAAAACTTAGAAGTATCTAAGTTTTATCTCCATTGTCAATGCCGGAGGAAATTAAAAATCTTTGCTATCTCTTTTCTTACCAAGCTGACAGAACGCTAACCACTGCAGACTACGTTAACCACCAGAATTGGGTAAACTTATGGACCACAGATTAACAACACAAATCTGTGGTAAATAAACTTTAGTAAACAAGGCAACCACTCCAACCAAATCTAAGCTAACGGTGAAGCTTAATAAGGTTGAGTCTACTGAGATTGCTGTTATGAACGATGCTTTGGAATTAAAATGACTATAATACGTATGGAGTAGAAGGGTTATGTAGTGTAAGATTTAAATGTACTTTGACAATAGTACCGTTAGGTAGTTGGGGAATTATATTTTAAGTATGTTAAAGCCTCTTTCTAAAAAGAGACTTTTATATTTTTTGGCATATTATAATCATGTAGTTATATTTATTCCAACATTAATTTTTATGCATAAATTATAGACGTTCTATCGAAGTTCACTATATATTTTGTGTAAAGAGAAAACTCAGGGGTACATCTTTTTCCAAAGAACAAACGATAAATGACAAAATATATAAAAAAGAAAATATATAAATGCTTTTTTAAGTTTGCTGTAAATGAATTGTAATATTTATTAATTTTTTTTTATTTATCTCACATATAGAAAAATTTATAATTTTAACTAGTCAATTTGGAGCATTGTTTAATGTTAGGTACGAACTGGGTGAAATAACTGGTAAGGTTGTTTGTTGCATCAGTAACGCATTGACCGTATTGTCCAGGAACAGTTGGAACTTTCTTGATCAATTTGATGACATTCTTAGTTTGTTTGTACAAAGAGGCCATTCCCTTAACTACTGCCAGAGTACAGCTTTTACTAGGACTATCATCACCTTCATCGTCACTACCGCAAGCATCAATGATATTGTTGCAAGTGGTAATTATAGCATTGCATGCGTCTATGACAGCTTGTAATTGGGCAGATACAGTACCTCCACATGCTAC